TCAGAAGAAGTCTAGCCCAAGAGGAAGAAGCCGAGCTTGCCTCCGTGAAAAAAGAAGTTGCTGCTTTTTTGGCCTCCGCTCCAGTTGTTCCCGCTGGTAGGTAGAAACAGTTTCGTGAGTCAGTTACTCTCGTGGGCGACTCACATCCTCGCTGGACTTGTGCTCAGGCGTCGATGCGACCAAGGCTCGTTTCGAAGCGCTTACCCGTGTTGGTATCCTCAAGCCCACCGCCTACAACTTCCAAGTAATGAAACGACGTCAATCTTTGCTTGACATGATTTCGCTTCATATACTGACCGTTCCATTCGTTTTGCTCAGCCATTCGTGTCGAGCGAGAGTCCGTATCAGGACGGAGGCATTCTCGATGAGATGAAAAGCCACTACGCATCAGTGTACCAAGCACATATTCCTGATCGAAATTGTTTTCCACTCGGAGTCATGGCTAGCATGCCTAGAATCGGCAAAACCCGCGCCAGCCTCGAGTACCTGAAGCATGCCGTTCAAATGACTCGCGCAAGCGGCCATGACACGCGAGTTGTCCCGATTTACGTGACCTACAACCGCTGCACCCATTTTGGCGTTTGGGATCGTGCGCTGGGTGCTGATCTGAGCATTGCGTACCGTGTTTTGCTTGAATACGCGAGCGGTAATATGAGTTGGCCTCGCGACGTGGTGGGCAACATTGCTGCTGCAATTGGAAAAGTCTCGCTCGAAGATGCTCTGGACATCATTGCAATGCACGCCATGCAGCACAAGCCCAATCTTGATCAACTGCAGTGCCCTGGTGATCCGTCGTCCAGCACGAGTCCCAGCTTGCCCGCTCTCAACTCTTCCAACCCGCCGAAAGTTATGTTTGTGCTGATTCTGGACGAGTTTCAACGAGCTCTGATCAACAAGGGTACAACTCCGGAGCCGAGGGACCCTGCAAACAAAATCTCGAGTCCGTTCCTCCAGTCCGTCGTCACCGCCATGGGTTCCTGTGCAGTCCGGGATGCTTCATCGCGAATCTGGCATAGTACTACCCTTTTCACGGGCCTTTCCTACGGACCCCTTCAGGAGCTCTTTCGACTGTTATCGCATCCGCTCAAGCGCTTTGCCGTTCCATGCTTGACTTTCGCGCAGTCGGTAACTTGGGTGAAAGCGTTCTTGAGCGTCAAGCGACCAAAATCTTGGCCTCCAGGTGACGACATCACCAAGGATTCGGTTTTCCAACGTATGTTGATCTACGCGTCTGGCCACGCCCGGTGCATCGAGTTTATCTGCGACGCGTTGGATTCGGAGAAGTTCGTGGCCAGCCTTAGACCGCACTCCTTGGAACTACCATTCATGGAGAAAATTGAATGGGTTCTTCAATACCGTTGTAATACTCTCACGGATGAGCAAATTGAGGCCATTTTGGTTGCAGCGTTGCGGCCTGTTGGGTTTGACAAGCAAGAGAACGCTGACTCGGTTCGAAACTTGATCGAGGTGAACGGGCTGGGCACGATGATCGACTCCCAGCTCATCCTCCCAATGCATATTGCTCGTGTGTTGATTTGGCGGCTGCATTATCTCAACCGGCACCAAGCCGTGCCGTCCACCTTAAAACGTCTCTGGCGAATGCTGGATACGTTGCTTGACAACTCACGACCACATGCACCATTCTTCCTTTCCCTTGAAACGGCGTGCGCTACTGCGCTTTCTCTTCGTTTGTACTCGTTCGCTCTTGAGTATCCTCATCATACAGTTTGGACGCTTGAAACCCTGCATCGAGGCGCGCGATTCAACGCAAATTCGTCAATTGCTGGTCTTAAGATCAAAGAAGCCCAACGCCAACTCCATTGATTTGCGCCATCTTGACGGCAAGTGTCAATCTTTCCAGCCCCGACGGTCGGGTTCCCTGAAACCGTGTACTTGTAGAATGGACCAAGGGAAGATGTGGACTATCACGTGTTCTCATGAGGTAATATTGCGCGACCGAGGCTTTTCGGAGATGCTCATAGAGTAA